CAACTATAACTTAAGTATTTAAGGGCCAGGCATTAGCAAGGAAATTGGGAGATGCAGATAAATAAGATCTGTCGTTGGGGTGTGAGCATGTACGGTAAAGTTACAGGACGGGAAAACCAGTGCTAACAGCAGCCTGTACGGGGCCCCCTGGCGTTGAGAGTAGGAAACACCCAAGTGCCTGCAAAGGAGAGACTTAGAATAACGTAACCCTACTACAGCAGGGGTGAGCTTTGAAATGAGCCAGGCACGGAAGGACAAATATTGTAGGCTTTCCCATAGATGAGGTGCCTAGAATAGTCACATTCATGGAGACAGAAACTAGTACGAAAGGCGGGGGGAAGAGGGGCATGGGGCGTTATGGGGCTTTACTGTTTAACAGGTACAGAGTTTCAGTTTGGGGTGATGAAAAAGTTCTAGAGATGGATGGTGGTGATGGTTGCACAACATCGTGCAGGTGCTTAATGTCATGGAATCGTCTACTCAAAAATGGTCAAAATGGGAAATTTTGTGTCATATATATTTTACCACAATAAAACAAAAAACAACGGGAACGAAAAAAATGATCATTTATAGGCCCCACCCCCGGTTCTTCTCTTTTTAAGAGAAGTTTTTTAAGAAGAATTTTTGTAACATCACCCATCTTTTGTATCGGAAGGGGTAGAAAGAGAGAATCTCAAGCAGGCTCCATGTTCAGTGGAGAGCCTAACGTAGGGCTTAATCCGACAACCCCAAGACCATGACCTGAGCCAAAACCAAGAGTTGGATGCCCAACTGACTGAGCCACCCAGGTCCTCGTATGGATACATTTTTAAAAGGAATGTTCAGTTTAATTTTTGTTGCTCTGCAGTCATCAAATTAATCATCATATTCTACCTGGGTCTGAATATGTATTCTACCAGCTTAACAAGGTCACTCAGTGTGTGAGTGTGTAAAATATATTAATACTTGCATTCAGATGCCTGTGCATTCATTTTGATAGTTATCTATCCAAAAGCCCTCTCGGATTATACCTTTGTTAGAAAGTATATGCATTTTTTTTTTAAAGATTTTGTTTATTTATTTGACAGAGAGAGACACAGCAAGAGAGGGCACACAAGCAGGGGGAGTGGCAGAGGGAGAAGCAGGCTTCCCCGGGGGGAGGTAGCTACCAATGAAATGTCTGATTTTTACTTTGTATTTACCTATATATTAACCTGTGATTTTTCACTTCCAAAAATTAAGGCAGGCCAATCATGTTTGTTCACCTGCTTGAATATGTGTTAACCTGCCTTAGTCGAACCGAACTGTTGCTAATTGAAAATTTGTCTTCCTTTCAAATAGCACTTATATTTCAAATCTCTTTGTATGTATGTTTGTAAGCCAGATATATGTATGGTTTGGTGGTATACTTAGTACAGTACTAGCCATTGCGGGGATCCAGCGAGAGGAGTAAACCATATTCCCCGCTCCTGTCGAGCCTCCGTCTTGGAGATCGAGCCTCACGTTGCAAGGCAGAACCAAGAATGCACTCGGTGACTGCAGCTACATTGGGGAGGGTATGTGCTGTGGTGAGCACTGTGAATTGTGCAGGACTGTTGAATCACAGACCTGTACCCCTGAAACAAATAATACATTATATGTTAATAAAAAAGAAGATAGTAGGAAGGGGAAAATAAAGGGGGGGAATCGGAGGGGGAGACGAACCACGAGAGACGATGGACCCTGAGAAACAGACTGAGGGTTCTAGAGGGGAGGGGTGAGGGGGGATGGGTTCGCCTGGTGACGAGTATTAAAGAGGGCACGTTCTGCATGGAGCACTGGGTGTTACATGCAAACGATGAATCATGGAACACTGCATCAAAAACTAATGATGTACTGTATGGTGACTAACATAACATAATAAAATAAAATTAAAAAAAAAAATGCACTCGGATAACACCAGGAACAGTTGCTGAGGAATCAGAGAGGAAGTAATCTCTGACACCAGAGAACCTGTAACTAGAAGCTAAACCTTTATTAAAAATAAAAGAGTTGGGGCGCCTGGGTGGCTCAGTTGGTTAAGCGACTGCCTTCGGCTCAGGTCATGATCCTGGAGTCCCGGGATCGAGTCCCACATCAGGCTCCCTGCTCGGCAGGGAGTCTGCTTCTCCCTCTGACCCTCCTCCCTCTCATGCTCTCTGTCTCTCATTCTCTCTGTCTCAAATAAATAAATAAAAAAAAAATAAAAAAAATAAATAAAAAAAAATAAAAATAAAAGAGTTTTGAAGGGTGAAGAAACCAAAAGGTCTTTAGCCAACATGTTGAGCTCTCAAGAAGGGGAATAGAACTAAAAACAGAACCAAAAGTATGTACTTTGTCTCTTTGGGGCACATTAATCTGTGTTAAGTCATAACTCCTTTAGTAGGAGAAATACAGACTTTAATTAAGGGGCCAGGTTATTTTTATTTTGTTTCTGGTGCCTACCATTCTAAAATTGCAAAGTCTCTAGTATGAAGCTGAAAGTCATTACTAGTGGTAAGTCTTATTTGAGAGCCAAAAGGAAAACCCACCAAATTTATCCTACTTGTTTGGTATTAAATTTTAATTTATAAATTGTCATACTGTAACGGGGCAGTACTTCATCCAATGCAGTATCCTGCATGTAGTAGTAGTAATAGTAGGCAGCCGCCCTCAGGTTTCCGGGAGAAACTGCACTCCCCTTCCTGGCCCAGGGTCCTGGTTGCTGGGAACCCCACTCCAGTCTGTTGTATGAAAATTAGTACAAGTTAACTCTCCTTCACTTACTAGCTGAGGGAACTAGCTCATTGCAAAGCTGTTCTTTTTAGGTTCCCTTAGGTTCCCATTAATCTGGATGAACACGTGTGACCATGAACTTCAGATACTGTGCAAGGAAGAAGAATATTGGATGACTTGTCTGTTGAGGGCTTACAGATGAGCACGTACGGAATTATCTTGTTTTATCTTCCCTATAGCCCAGTAGCCCTAGGAGGTGGGTACTACTACTGTCTAGGTTTCACAGATAAGGAAACCAAGGCACAGAGGTGGAGTGTGGGATTTCATTTCCCAGACTGTGTTTTTTGCTAAGGGGTCATCTTTTATCACCGTAGGTATGTTGAAAGTTAGCGAATGCAGAATCCTGCCCCTTTAGAAAACAAGGACTTTTCTTATACTGTTTGTGAATCCTGATATTCAGGCAGGAAAGCCCTGAAAGGTACAGAAGCATAGCGGAAAGCCAGCATATTTACTATCGGGTACGTAATGCTAAGTGTTGCCTCGCACAGCCTCAGACACAGTGGTTTAACGCCTACCGTGTAAGGGTAGGAAGAGCCTCCCGGCTAAAAGCCCAGCCAAGAAATGTAACAGTTTTGTGAACAGATAATACGTTAACTGGTTACTTTTCTATTAAATAAGAAACTCTTCAACTCCAGTTCTAATGGGTATGTCTATATGTATCTATCTGTCCTATATATATATAAAATAAGGTATATATACCTATTAATTTCTAATAAAGTATGGATAAAACATATCCATGAGTAATATTATTGGGCTGTTGAATTTCTTAGTCCGAAGGGATGTTTTAAAACAACTGAGGCGCTATTGAGAAGGTGACAGATCTGAGTTAATTGCTCTTTTCTTCCACGTGCCCTCATGGTCGTAGTGGGTAGAAAGAAAGTGGAGACACGCAGGGCGTGGTTGGTCCATATGCGTGACTGACCCCTGAATAACTAGGAGGTGACTCTTCGGAATTAGCTGGCTCTCTGACTCCACATAATACTGTTCTAAGGATGAAAATGAAGTAACAGATGTGAAAACACGGTCCTTTAAAAACCAAAAATCACTAGTCACGTGCAAGTTACCCCAGAGCTCCTTTCTCAACACTCTTACTTTTGGTCTCTTTGTAGGCGTCCTCTCCCTGCCACCACCCCCCCTTCTCTTTCCCTCCTCTCCTCTCCTGCCCCTTCCCCAGCCCTCCAGTGGGTGAGCCTGGAGCGGGGCAGCAGAGAAGGGCTAAATCAGTCTGTTTTCTTACTGCTTTCATAAATGCTCACATTACCACAGCTCTCCTTCCGTTGTTCTTCTCCCTGCCCACCTTTGTATCCTCTGAGGAATTTTATAAAACACCCTCTGGTTTGTCTCACTCCGGTTTGCTCTGACTTGACCAGCTACGTTCCTCTTGCTGTTCTTCCCTTCTTCCCTCTTCTACATCTGGATGTCAGCAGGTGACCTGTGGCCAGCAGGCTGCTTCGGTGTGTGACGCTGTCTCTTTTGCATCGTAGATGCTCAAAAAATACATGTTCACTGACTAGCTGAGAAAGAAACAGGTTATACATTCCTTCTCCTTCGGTATTTAAAAAAAAAAAAGGTGTTGGGACGCCTGGGTGGCTCAGTCGGTTAAGCGTCTGCCTTCAACTCAGGTCGTGATCCCAGGGTCCTGGGATCGAGCCCCGCATCGGGCTCCCCGCTCTGCGGGAAGCCTGCTTCTCCCTCTCCCACTCCCCCTGCTTGTGTTCCCTCTCTCGCTGTGTCTTTCTCTGTCAAATAAATAAAATCTTTTTTTTTTTTTTTTAAGTGTTGACTGGCCTTAAGTCTGGAGATTTTATTCAAGTACACAGGATTATAGAGCCTTAACTGTTTAACTATTGCTGTTTCTCCTGCTAACTAACGTAGCGAGGCAGAATATAAAACTGCCTCGGAGTTTTAAAAGGGAGGAGTGGTGTTTATTTTGAAGTACTCAAAAATCTCGCTCTTTAGGCATTCCATGAGTTTACCTTCGTTTTGTCACCTAAGAGAGACAACGAGCATGAGGAAATAAGTCTTGTGTGGAATCCTCCGAAAGTCATGTTGAATTTCCAAATGTCATCATAGAGTATTACCTGTTAACATTTGCTCGAAGAGCCCGGCTGATGGGTCTGTTTTCAGCTATGTTTGTTTGCTTGCCCCTGTGGGTGTTGATCTGAAGGAAACCATTACCTAATTCCTTAAAATGATTAATGTTTTCTCCTTCCATTTTTTTTTTAAAGGAAATGGCAAAAATCCTTAATCATCCCCGAGTCTATGCCTTTCTGCACATCCCGGTCCAGTCTGCCTCTGACACTGTCCTCATGGAAATGAAAAGAGAATACTGCGTGGCTGACTTCAAAAGAGTAGTGGATTTTCTGAAAGAGAAGTAAGTCTGTTAGTACTTAAGAAAATAACCGTTCCTTTTTTTCTTACAAAAGCATGTGGCAAAAATGCACTCATTGTAGCCACAATTAAAGGTACCAGAGAGAAGGCGAGAGTTTTGAAGCTTTCTGAGCCTTTAAGTTTCCTTAGGGACCCTTGATGTGGTTTCTTCTTATATCTACCTCCCATCTGTGCACGACACACCATTAATTTGTGTAAGATTGCCAGTCTCTGTAAGGTAGTGTACATTGTGATCATTTTTATACCTGACCTAGTAGATGAAAACAGCTTTGGTTTTGCTTAAATCCCCTTTAATGTGGCTTCTTGAGGTGGTGAGCTGGTTCTGATGTGGAGATAGGCCAAATCATGTCACTACAAAACAGTTAATTTTCTACCGAGTAGCATTTTTTTTTTAAAGATTTTATTTATTTATTTGAGAGAGAGAGAATGAGAGAGAGCACATGAGAGGGGGGAGGGTCAGAGGGAGAAGCAGACTCCCTGCCGAGCAGGGAGCCCGATGTGGGACTCGATCCAGGGACTCCAGGATCATGACCCGAGCCGAAGCAGTTGCTTAACCAACTGAGCCACCCAGGCGCCCTACCGAGTAGCATGTTTTGAAGAGTATTTGGAACATCTTTGCTTTTACACGCTTATCCCTGAAGATTACTTGAAGAATTGTGATTTATAAGGAGGTTTTAGGATTCTGTTTTTCAAGGTTGAAATTGCTGTTGACCAAAATTAAGGCGTATTTACACAATCTTAGACATGAATGATCATTTTGTTTCCACAGAAAACACTTGCAGCCCATAATTATATTCTTCAAAATCCTACTTATCATCATCACCAAACATTGACTGCGTTCTGTGATTATACAAGGCAGGAAATAGTAAGGCTGGCCAAGGTCATACAAAACCTTCTCAAGTCTAGGGCACTGTTCTCCCCTCTGGGGATATGTCATTTATCTTGGCATATTTGAGGCATGGGTCTTCCTACTTCCCATAATTTTTTTCCATAATTTTTTTCCTCTGTTGTTTTTCTTAATTAAGTTACAACTTTTTATTTCCATCTTCTTGTTTATAATTATGTATCTTTGTACCATGTCAGAGTGCTACATGGATATGATTGCTTTATACAAATTGTAAGCAATTATTTTTTCCACCTTCAATTAGTGACTTATCCTGACTACATAGAAATCTTTTAAAATCTTTTTCTTCTATTTACTTTCTCCTTCCTTCCTCATCTTTCCTGTATGTCTTTCTAATTTTTTTTTTCACCTCTAGGCATTTCTTGATTTTCCTAACCACTAGAAATAAAGACATTTGTGTGCAGTCAAACAAACACAGCTAATTGTTCAAATATTCAAATCAGTGAATAGAAGGCATATTTATTCTAGGATTTCATAATTATAATCATTAAGTATATACAGTCTTCAAAGCAGAAAACAGAATAATGACAGATCTCTACCATCTATAATACTTCCTGCTCTTAAAGAAAACTGAGGTCAAGGCTAAAGAATAAGAATTTTTATGTTAGATGTCTATTAAGTTGCCCGGTATCCCTCCTTTGCATTTATTCTAGCTTATTGTAGGTAAACTTGTCTCATATGAGAGAGTTTTTTTGGGCACGTTGGCACTGGTGAATGGAATGTTTTTCAAAATTGCAAACATTGTTGCACCTGTGAAATTTCTTGCCTCTTGCTTATAACTAGGGCAGTAGCAAATAATGTGCACAATTCATACCTGTTGCACAAGATTTTGCCAAGTGTAGACATGCATCCTGTTGTGCAGAATAGACTAGAACACTTTCCAAGTGCTTTGTTGCATTAATGTGATTCAATGAGGTAAGGAATCAACACCTCTCTTTCTCCTCCACTTGGGTGAGTGCTGACTCAGTTGTTTGGGGGAATTACTGTGGCTACCTAACTGGGCAACAATTTCACAATAAGTTCTAGCCTTTTATGTTGTTCCAAAGATGGACCTTTTAAATCTGTTGCATCTTGAACAGTTTCAACAGCATCCATGAGGTAGAGAGAGGTCAAAAGATGATCACATCAAAGTGTTAGAGAATAGTCTCTTGCCTTTATTCATGGGTTAAACTCATTGTCCTTTCTTTGGATTCTGAGTTACCCTGAGGCATCTGTGTAGCTTTTCTAGAACTATTCTACTGTCTGGAGGGTCCCAGAACCAAGTGCTGTACCCGAGGATCTCCACTATTTCCAGCACTGGAAATACCAGGGATCCCTGGAAGGATATTGGAGATCTCTGGAGAAGACACCCCATCCCATAACCCGTCCATCCACAATGTCAGTTTCAAGTGGTATAATTCACTGGCGTGGTAGAGTATGAGTCTAGATAGCATCTCTAAGCATCTGTAACTCTTTATTGGCTATGCACAGTGAGGGTGAAAGCAACCTCAGTATACAATTCCATACTTAGATTATAACTTACAGGATGTACTGGAAAAATGTAGAAGGCAGACAACATGATACTCCTGATAAAAGTTACAGGGACTCTTTGGAAAGCAAGAAGAAATTAAATTATGACTGCTAATAAGGTGATCCTTGCATGGTTTTAGAGAGCTCATCAGAACCGTAAAGTTCTGTCTTTTGTCCAGTCTGTCCTGTTGCTTGTAGGAATAGTACAGTGCTCGCTCGCTCGCTCACCCCGCGCAGACAATATAACCCACCTTTGCTCTTCAGGGAAAAGGGTTCCTGTCCTTTCGGGGAAGTCCACCCATTCAGGGAGGAATTTCCAACTGCAACAAACATTGAGAAATAAATGAAGTCTTTTTAGCAGGTTTCCGCTCTCATAGTTTGCTTACTTTTCCTATAAAAAAACGGCACAGCTTTATGCCAAATAGATTAGCACTTATAGGAAACACCAAAGTTTCAGAGATTTTATAGTAGAACTGCTAGTCTGGATAACTGATCCAGCACAAAGTTGTTTTGGCCAGCGTTTTATCAAAATTCAGGAAAGTACTGTCTTTTTTAGAAAGAGGGCCTTATACCGTCATTTTGCTTTTGTGCGTTCGTAAATCGACCCTGATTTCAAATGGTTTATTTCGTGCTCTCCTCTTATATCTGCTTTTTAAGCTCCTATCCTAATGTCTTGTTTCCTCTGAAGCTTTTGAAGCCTTTTTCTTTTTTCCTAGTGAGCCTTTAACAACTAAGAATCTTGATTTTTTTTTTTTCCCTTCACCAATAGGAGACTTATATATTCATGTTATGAATTAGGGATGGGACATTTCCTAACCCGTCGCACCAAAAAATCCAATTTTGAGAACAACCTATCGCATTGAACACTGACCTCCAAACTGTGCGCTGCAGGCTTTTAAACTACGAATTCAGCGATGTTCGTGATGCCGTATCTCTGAGACACTGGAGGTGAAACCTTTTTAATTAATTTTCTTTACAGTTGAAACTGGCCCATGTTTTAGCTGGAAGCAACAGAAGTTTACTTACGAGCCAACCTGAGGTTGATTCATTATTCTCTTCAGTTGTTCAAAAGTTGGCAGCGATTACCATACCAGCAGCTGGATTGAAGATAACCTAGCGGTGCTGGCCCATGCTGGGGCATATGGGAATTTATTAACTCACGCAACCTTTGCAAAGAAAAGTGTCTGAATTACTTAACATACTAATTTAAAACAGCTGGTCCTGAGCAGACAATCATATGACTAAAATTATTCTATTCCGATTGATTAATCCAGTTGGAAAATTAACTAAGTTGATGTTTTCATATGAACAGAGAAAATGGTTTCTTGAACTATGTACTACAAGTGGCAGGGATACGGAAGGAAGCCACCTTTACAAAAGTGCATTTCCGGTTTCAGGAAGATTTTTAATCAATACCTCGTAAGAGTGACTACTTTTATTGATTATCCCTGAACCGGTTTTTCTGTTATCTTTTTAAGCTATTGGTGGGATTTTTAAAAAAAGTATGAAACTTGAATTGTTTATTTTTATTTTTTCATGTGATTTTGAAAGAGTTAACTTTCCAATGAGAGGATTTTTCACTTTGCTGTTTTGAGGGTGATACAATTACGGTTCCTAGGGCCTTGGGACCTTGGCCGTAGACTTTAATTGGGCCCTCCTCATTTGAGCAGCATTGAATTTACACAGTCACTCCCCAGCATAAAACCACACGTTCACATAAATTCAAAAAATGACAACATGCAGAGTTGTTCTCTCAGGCATATGTTCTCATGTTAAGTAAAAGAAACTCTGAGTCCTCAAATTCACACATTAAAGTGTGAAAGAACTACGTAAGAATGTCCTATTGATAGATACATTTTAAGACATGAAACAGTTTGTGTATTAAAAGATCTATTTGTTTTCAGAGATTATTTTGTTGGAAGTCCAGTGGCCTTTTGGTTTATGCCAACCAGACCTTAAACTTGGGAGACAAGATCCATCCCCCTCAATCGATAAATACATTTTGAATGAACTAATGACCAGTTATGTTTTTACCTGCAGGTTGCATAGATCTTAAGTTGTGCCTTACGGTGGCATCTTTGTGTGGACTTCCAATGCCATAATATTATCCATCTCAGAATTTGCCATTATCATCTGTCAGCATGCTGTGTAATTCTGGATTAATTTGTCACATTGCCTACAGAATATTAACCCTTGAGCGTCATGATATCCATGCACACCCCAAGCTTCCTGCACCCAGAGATTGCCCCCGTGAAACGCCACAACCAATAACTAAGGAGCACTCGGGGGAAGGGAACCTTTTAGCAGGGAGAACTCGCTGGAGGGGAGGTGGCAGCCTTGCAGAGAAGTTCTGTCCTCTGATCTCTCCACTGCAGTGGAGGGGCACAAGGGCCCAAAGTCAAGGAGATGGCTTTGGAAGGGTAATTTCTGTCAGTGAGTCCCAGAGTTACCTCGTACCGCCCAGCCTATCCTGTGACCTACTTTTCCAGTCTGTTGGGGGTGGGGGATGGGGAATGCTAACTCATTAACATCCTGCGTTCTTTTTCTTCTTTTTATGAGTTTCCAGTCAT